TCCCCCTTTTTGTTTTTTAGGGGGAGGGGGGGAGGTTTTTTTTGGGGCGAGGGGGCCACCCCCCCCCCAAAAAAACCGGGGGGTTTGGGTTCCCCCGGGGGGGGGGGGGGGGGGGTACCCCCCCCCCCCCCCCCCCCCCCCCCCCGAAAAATATTGAGGGTGTTGGGGCGGGTGTGGCGTTTTCTTCAGCTTGTTCACGGAACGATAAAGAGTTGTGCAAAAGGAAAAATACGGCGAAGAAAACGGTGTGTTGTCAGGAGACGGCGCGAAGCAGTCGACACCGCCCGAAGAATTGGGTGTATCTCGTGGTGTTGTTGTGCCAGAGGGGGGTAACGCGGTGGTGGTGGGGGGTAGGGGGCACATGAAGCTCTACCCACCCCGCCATTTGGATGGTCGTGTCTTCATTTTGCGATCGATTTTGTTACAGCGCGGAAAAATGCCTCCGCCGGTGGGTTCGGATGATGCCTAGGACAGCGAGTGGCAGCGTTTCGCGGTCGCTGTGCTGGTGGAGCGTGGAGGTAGGGTTTGGTGGTGGGTGTGCGGAAACGGATAGACGCCCATGATGATGGTCCGGGCAAACCTGGAAAGCTGGTTGACAACAAATTACCGGTTTTAACCAAGAGTGGTGAACGGTTTTGTATTGGGCGCACTCTCTCTCCTTCTCGGCGTCGTGTGAACGAAACGTAGTTTTTCCGAGTCTTTCGTGCGACTTGCTCACGATGCTTTCCGGAGGAAGCCCCACACATACGGTGGGCATGACGGATTCACGAAAAGAAACGTCCTTATTTTTCGTTCTTCTGCTCCTGAGAGATGGGTTGCGCGCGCAAGCATGCCCACGCGTAAGCATGCATTCAACGGCCGCCCACCGCGCTTCTCTCACGCGGTCGTTAATAACAAATACCTGTACGCACGACAAGTATGATAGTTCTCTTGTATTGTTCCCTGCTGCTTCTCCTGCTGCTGCTGTCTGAGAGCTCGCTTTTGACTGCCACAAAGCATTTGCTCAGCGCCTGTGCGTCGCGGCAGAGACTTGGCCCGATGGCAAGTTCCGTCAAAGTCCGAACGAGTTTATCGCCGTTGTTGCTTCTTTACGATGAGACACAAGCAACATATTTTTCACACACCGATTAGGGAGCCGGGATGTTACGCCGAATAAATAGGAGCAGGATGACATGTACATTCGTCAGATTTTAGTCAGGTCCCACACGTGGCGAACGAAGTGGAATGAACCACAGCAACCCTAGTTGCTACTGCGCACGCAGGTCGCCAGCGCGGGTCTGGACCACACTAGGAGAGCGAACAACTTGCCCAGCGAACACGCACTTGCTTTGGGGGTTGGGACCTCCGCTCCAGAGAGGGATCTACTCCCCAAGACTACTGTAGTTCGCTCACCCTTTTGGTAGGTAGACGTAAACTGTAGGCTACGATTGGTTTCTGTACAAGTTCTCTACAAACTGGGGGCGGTGGTTGCCCCACATCGCGGCGGCCATCTCATCCGCCCTTCTCCTCCGCTCCGCGAGGCGCCTCTCCAGCATGTCGTTGGTCGTTTCCGACAGCCGTCCCTTTGGGGCCGACGCCGAGAGAGCCATGCGGAGATCGTGGTACGTCATCGGCTCTCCGCTCCCGATGCTGGCCTCGCGGCAGAGGCCTCTCGCCCACGTCGAGGTGCCCTTCCCGCTGCCGCCGCTTTTTGAACTACCGCTTTCGGCGCCGCGATGTTGTTGCGGACTGCTGCTACTCCTTGCCCCATCGGCCGCTGAAGGCTGTGACCAAGACGCCGACGGAGCGGGATGAAACCGGCGCACCACGTCGTCCTTGTGGTCGTCGCCGGCGAGAAGTCCCAGCCCTAGGTCAGGCCGAGACTCCCAGTCGATCCGCAGGTCGGGCGGGAGAAGAAGGGAGTTTCCCGACCGGAGGAACTCGAAGATGCCAGCCAGACGGTCGGCGACGTCGTCCTCCTCCCCGTCGTCCTCTTCGTCGTCCTCAACGGCGGCGCCCGTCGGCGGAGCAGCGGCTGCCCGTCCTTCGCTGCGACCAGTGCTCAAGCCGTCGGGGTCTGGTGGTGCTACAGTCGCTGTGGCGACTGCGGCGGCCGCTTCGGTTGTTGGGGATGGAAACGAAACATCGGAAGATACGGCGGCAGGGGCGCCGCCGCCGCCATTCGTATCAGTCCCAGATATCGCCTTCCCGCCATCATCTGCCCCAGCTCCTACCCCCCCGGTCAACGACCCGCTACTAGTGCTACCACCGCCGCTTACATCGCCACAAATTTGAATGTTGATCCCACCCAAACCATCACCACCACTCGAACCCCCTACCCCCCTGTACCCCTTCCTGCCCTGCCCTCCTCTCCCAGGCCCGCCATCACCGCGCTCATCCCTCTCGGTTTCTTCTTCTTCTCTCTGTGCCTTCAATCGCGTCCCCACTTCGGCTACGCTCGTGCGCCGCAGCACCCACTCCACGCGGTCAAGCCTCACTAGTTCCTTCGGCAGGATTGGCGGTTCGATTCCCTGTTGTTTTTCGATTGAAACGCAGCGGACCGTGCGGCATCAAACAACAAAATCAGCCACATGAATGTTGGTTTGAAGCATGGTATATAGGTCGCCGGCAATCAAGGGCGCCGCCACGCGTGCGATTTGCCGCTGGGGCATGTCTTTGGGTACCAGACCGTGTACATGCATTCGGTACGTGCGGCCCGTCCTGCTTCCCTTGTGTTTCTCTGGCATCTGCGGGGTACAACAATACCAACAGGTTCACACCCCATCCCGTCGTAACCTAGAAAGCGAAATATAGTGAAAAGGAGAGAGTGAAAGAGAGAGTGAAAGAGAGTGAAAAATAGCGAATAGAGAGTGAAACATGCGTCTTGCTTATTGGCATCGACCGCGAACGCTAACGGGCTGACCAATGAAATTACACCAGTCTCAGCGAGGTTGAAAACACAAAAAAATTGTGAACGCCATGAACTGGGACCCCGTGAGGGGGCGGCATGGGGGAGGCTAAGCTGTTCTCCAGATTAAAGACAGAAACGGTAGCAACAGAAGAAAATTGCACGTGTCTACCAAGGCTGCTACCTTGCGCTCGAGTTCGTTTTGGAGTGCTTTCACCATCATCCTCCTTGCTTCACCACCATCACTCTCATATCTTCATTCTTACAGCTTTTTCGGTAATTCTTCTCTAGCCCTGCGTCGTTTGTTATGGGGAAGATCATCTGGCTCGAAGCTCGCTCTCTTCCACTCCATACTTCCCTCCTCCATTGCTGTTTTGGTCGTTCCCTTGTCCTCCTGTTCCCTTTCTTCCTCCTTCGTCGCTACCAAATGAATTCTCCTCGTTGCCATCATCATCGTCTTTGTCTGCACTACTACTGAGATCCCAACCTTTTGGCCGTGGTGGAAATTGACCGATGATCGACCAGTTTTCATCACGGCTAATAGGTTGGGATCTCCGTAGACCTGCAGACAAAGACGATGATGATGGCAACGGGGGAATTCATTTGGTAGCGACGAAGGAGGGGGAAAGGGAACAGGAGGACAAGGGAACGACCAAAACAGCAATGGAGGAGGGAAGTATCGAGTGGAAGAGAGCAAGGTAGTTCATACATGTATGTGTGTGTGTGTGTGTGTGTGTGAGAGAGAGAGAGAGAGAGAGAGAGAGAGAGAGAGAGAGAGAGAGAGAGAGAGAGAGGAGTCCGCCTACAAACCTCGTAGCGAAAGCCGACAGGATCAAGAAAGACAGACAGACTTTTTGGCCTTCACCCCTTAAGGCTCATGTCTTCCGTTTTGCGTTGTTGTTGGATGTTCCCCGGAGGCTCACGTCCCAGTACCACATCGTCGAATCGGCATGTTTCTCGCCGCTCCATACGTTACAAATGCATACATACACAGACTATGCTTAGGTGCGTGTCACTCGCCTGCGCCAGCGCCGCAGCGGCGACCGCCGCCCGCGCGGCCGCCTCCGGGTCCGCCGGTAACCACGCCTGCGTCTTAGCGTCGGCCGTGATGACGACGGGTGCTGCCGCTGCTTGTCCTTTTCGGGCATTGCCTTCGGAGGAGTTCGCGCTGGCGTTCCTTGGCGGAGGGGGAAGGAGAGACGACGTTGACGGCAGGTCGAGAGGGTGGGCGATGGAGGGTTGGTTGGGGTATTTCGGGACGAGCAGGAGGCTACTAGATCGGGGGTACGGTACCTGACATAAGTATCGCAACGTTTGCATATCACCTATTCTGCGAGAATTTAGATTGTGTGAACCTAAACAACTTAGGTCCTGCCCTGCCTCTATACCTCCTAACCCCCTCTGGCCCGCCTACCATAGTAGTCCTTTTCTCTCCCTAATAGTCAACCGCAGCCCCGCTGAAAGAATGAAAAGCTCGACGCCCAAGAAAAATATTGTAGGCTGTCGTCATGTGGAGTTTCGATCCTCTGACAAGAAAAATCGGAACTAACTGTAGAACGTTGCGCTGCGAGTAGAGAAACTCATAAACGTGCCGAGCCTCAAGGAGGAAGTACGATGCGAAATCCTGCGGCATACCTAGTCCTGCTCGATACGAGCAAACAAGGACGGGCCTGAGTTGTGGTTTCTACGGGAAAGGCCCGTATGTATTGCGGGCAATCGCCGAGAACGAAGTCATCTTACGATGGGTCCATGCCTCTTGCAGAGTTTGGTGCTCCCGCGAGTCGGCCACTGGCGTGCTCGTGACCATTCGCAGCGGCCGCCTGCTTTCGGGCGGTGGGCGGGAGAGATTGTGTATCAGGTCATGGGAACATACGAGGGCGTGAGAAGGAGTGACAATACTGGTACCTGTTTCATTTTTTTAAATCTCGCAGCGAAACTCGCCCTGCAGAAAAGGTCAACAGAAACCTACTCTCCAGGACGACGATACAGAACATACTTCTTTGAACTGGCAGAGACAGCTGACGCCCCCCGTCCCGTTCCGTATTCTTCACTTGAATTAACCCCTAAGTTCACTTGTACATGTTTCATAACTCTGTATCCGCAAGATACACACATGGGCCCAAACTTGTGAACACAAAGCTTGTCCTACAAGTGTAGTCTATCGCATTCTATCGCGTGTGGTGCTGCGTTACCGCAACGGGGTAGTCCTCCTCAACCTACTCCGACCCCTCCTACACGAGGCAAAATCTTGGACGGGAGTCCTTCCGAGGAACACGAGCCGTCCTCGTTATCTCCCACAAAGGATGGGCTATCAACTATCCAGTGACATTGCCAAACAGAAGTGGCAAGCAAAAACAGTAAGCCCCCCTCCCTCCTGACCCCCTTCCCCCACCTGCAACGCCATTCTTTGGGCGACCAACTCCTGGACCCTCTGTTCCGTCTCCATCTCCAAAGCCTCCTTGCGAGCGTCCGTGAACGGCTGGGGCAGGCATGCGGCAGCGTCGTCAAACGTGCACAAAACTATATAGCACATACGTGTTCGTGCAGAAAGACTCGTGCGTCGGGAAAAGACAAAATGGAGCACAATCGACAGGGAAAACCCGAGGTTTTTCCTTGTGTGGCCCGAGAAAAGCTCGCACGGGACCGGGAGCACTGGCACTTTCTGTCCGGAGCAATGTTTGCCTGATAACCAGTTATTTCTTCTGGCAACAAACAACATTGCCCTGTATTGGGGACGTTTGATCATTTTGGTGTTTCTTAAGGTATCACACACACCAGGGGGGGCATCGCCAATGGCATGGAAGTTGCATCCACCCGCCCGCACTATGATTTTGTTCGAGCCTTCAGGCAAGCCTAACCAACACAGTCTTGAGCAAAGCAAATACTTTCTGTCTGGAACTTAGTCGACGCCCACGATTGTTTGTCCTTGGTCCGTCAGCTTTACGCCTCGATGCTAAGTACGCACGCACGTTTACCCGCTCAACCAGGCGTATTTTCATCTGTCAGCCGGTACACAGGCGCGGTCAACGCTACCAAAAGGAACGCACGCAGCTCTGGAGACACGGCTCACCTGCAAACCCCGTTCCTTGAAGTCGAACCCCGGCGCGACTTTGTGGATGGCCTTGCAGACCTGGGGCGCAGCCTCGGCCGCGGAGGCGAGAAGACTCTGCAGCCGCACGACCTCCTGCTCGGCGTGGTGCAGGGCCATCGTCTGGCGGTCCATGCCGTCCTCGCGCTCGGTAGTTTCCCTCTGGCGGATGATCATCTGGGAGCGGTATTCCATGGCTAGCTCCTGTTTTTGTTTTAGCGGCAAGGGGTGGAGAGGGGGGCATGCGTCGGTTTTGGTGACTATTAGTAGTGTGGGAAGACAATTTGAGGGCAAGGGTCCGCAGGAAGTGAGGAAAGCAACCTCGTTTCCCCCTGTCCCTGCCTACCCGAGCAACCTCCGCCGTTCCCCGCGTAACCGACCAGCAGACACTCCGTTGGTTGTCCTTGCCCCTCAAAAAGGTGGCCTCGAAGAGGCGAAAACCGGACAATATTCGGGACGCACCCAACCATACGCAAATTAGCCGAAACGACATCGCGCCGGTTCTCGACTACTCCTTAGCATACCAATCGATTTGTACGAACAATGTAGCGAGAATCATCGAAGGAGCCCCACGGCTGTTTGTTTATTGGATCATACGTCCATGGCATACCCAACAATGCGCAGCAGCTGTTTCTTCACTGGGACATACGTCTATGGCATTCTCAATATGGCACACCCAATATTGTGCAGCCCATCCTTCCACACATACCTCCATGTCTCCGAGGCCACCCGCTAACTCGTCCACCTTCCCTGCGAGCCGCAGGGTGTGGTCCTTCTGCTCTGCCAGGGACGACATCAGCTGAGACCTGGTGTACATGCCCTCTATCCGTCCGTACACGGCCTGAGAAAAAGAGACATAAAACGTTTTTTCATGTCTTCGCATTCAAAATATTTGACAACAGATCATGTGTCGTTTCACGGACGCCCACTGTAATAGGATGCATGTCTTCGGAGGTGTTGGGCTCCGTTCCCCACTCATCTTATACATAAAACCATTTTCCTACAACCTGTAGCCGGAAGCAAGGGAATCAAGCAAAAGCAGGCATGTAGCATTCTGCGTAGTGTTTGCCTGTTCGGCCCCGTTCTTCCCTCCTTCGCCGAGTTTGGAAGACACATACATCACACACAGGCTGGTACAATGACACACACAGGCCTCAATGGACTTCTGTGATCTTGAAAGCACAATGACACACATGGAGAGTGAGATATCGCGGGGAGCTTGCACGATTTGGGATTACACTGGAGTGACCAATAGTTGTTTTCGCTCTGCCTGGACCAGCCGTTTGCTGGATCAGATGTTTTGTAGTGTCGAGCACGGAGAAAAAATATCACTTCTTTGAGGAGTGAACGCGTTCCTTTTGGCTGCTGTTGCGAAATGCTAAATAGCCCCTGTCCTTGAGTAATTCACACTCACGAGGTGCTTCCATGCTTTGAGGATCATGTGGGTCTTTCTCCTGTTCTTATATCGCCGGTGGAGCTTGAGCAGCCGCTCGTGCTCCTTGGTCTGCTTCTTGGAGTAGTCGGCGTAGATGTACCACATGCGGAAGGGCTCTCCGAGGTCCTTGAGAGAGAAGTCGGCCCACATCCCGACCGCGATCTGGTGAGTGAACCAACGAACGCCCACCCAAATAAGAGCAGAAACATAGGACGCTCGCAGAACCCATGTTGCATGTTTTGGTGGGAACGATAGCGAAAAAGAGTTGACGACGCGGCGAATGAACAAAAGTAAAGGGATACCGCCGCTTGCCCGGGACCGAGGAAACTAAAAAAAGGTAGGTGCCACATTAGGTTTGGCTCGAAAGGCGCTTGTCACCGCACAATCAAGATTCGACTCCAAAACCACCACAAAAGAAAAGTATTCATGAAAGAATGCTGGTATGAATCGTGGGTTCAGTGCTATGATGTGCATACGTGTTTGACACAAGCGCAGGATGTGTCACACACGCGCAGGACAGGCCTTGGGGTTTTCGTACGCCCTATAAATAACCAAACCTTCCAAACCATTTGCCGTCGGTCAATTTACATGGCAGGTGTGTTTTGTTGACACGCTTTCTAGAAAAAATAGGGCGCACGCACCTACAGAGTTGTGAACAAGGAACCACGCATGGGCCCGCGTTTTACTTTTGATCTTCACTAGTTCTTGATTTTCACCTTTTTAACTTGCTTGCTCTTTTTGGTCTCGGCCTTCCACGTATCAAACGCCCCCATCACCACTTGTGTCAGCTTCTTCCGCTGCATGCGAGTCGCTCTTCATTGTCGACAGGGTCACGCACAACAGGTGAACGCCCGGGTACCCGGTATCCGCTCGCGTTGTTATTGTTGTTGTTCTTGACAAGACATTGTGAACCTCTTCTCGTTCATGAGACGAGATGAGAGAACAAAACGTCCACAAGGAGAAACCATGCTAACGCCGCATCATATATTACCCCCGCCACACACTTCTCGAGAACCCCCCCGGGCTATTCGTGCTTGGGGACAAGGGTTACAGGAAATTCCTAAGGATTACTCGTCGGACAAGGGAGTGAGTGCGTTAGGACGTTCGAAAAAGAGCAGCGTGACAATGGGGTGGGTCGACAATGTCCCCGAAAAGAGTTGAGACATGAATTCAGCGGGAGCCATGTCCTGCTGCATGCGCTACATGCGATGCCACAATCGGCAGCAGACTCAAGGCAGCGTGTTCTGGAAGTTTACTGGAGGGGCACAGACCAATATCACCGAGTCTTGGTGGCGGGAAAATGAGCGTAGCAGTGGAGCCAGGCCCTAGGAAGAACGTACATGGCAAGTTGAGCGCTCTTCCTGCTCCATGCTAGGAACACCCCGACCATCTCCCGCCGCCGGGTGAAGGCGGCTACCTTGTGGGTGTTGTACCGAAGTCTCTCACTGTTGATGTTGTAGTTGTCGTTGTCGTCACGGTCGTCGTTGTCGTCGTCGTTTTGCAGTTCCCACATCGTCGGCGGGTGTCGCACGACAGAAAAATAAGCAGGCACGGATGGTTCACACACTTAGTTACCCCATGCCGGTCGTTCTTTCTTGGAAGAAGATCGATATACTTTTCATTGTTTTGGCTTATGCGATACAGAGAGCAACGGGAGGGAACAAGAGCAACAAACCTTGACGGCCTTGGGACGTAGGCACAAGCTTCAAACCAAGCCAAATACAAACTTAGCAGCCTCAAATTCGGTGAAAATACCTGTAATCTGTTCGAGAACCTGTAATCTGTTCGAGAACGAAAAAATAACATACGGCAGGCGAAATCGAACTCTCGGGTTTACGAAGTGCACGAGACAACCAGGATGGTGGGGAGGAGGAGAGGGGCTAAGACAGTACACCGGCTTGGGCAGCAACAGCGGCATCCACCGCAGCTTCGTGCACCTTTTCCGTACTTGTCTCTCACCCGCCTCTATAACCGGTCATGAGTTTCCTGTCCATGCCCTCGGCCTTGAGCGCTGCCCATTTTCTCCAGCCTTTGATTACCCGCCTGAGGTACACCCCACGGACGGGGTCGGACGAAGCCAACAAGGGAAGAGGCAAGTAGAGGGAATTGCACCATGCGCCACGGTGTGTGGATGGCGAGGGAACAGAAGAACAAGAGGAGAGAAATTGGGTCAAGCGCGAAGCGCCGTGAAATGCTGTGGCCGATGAGTGAGTGACATGAAGAGGTCAATCTTTCCGAAGTACAGCCTTGCGGGAGGAAGTTCAGCACATATTGTGCTACCCGACATGCGGGGTCAGAGTACAGAGATGGCACGTTTCGAGCGCAAGGTCTTCGAGTCGCGTAGGAACGGAGGGCGGAAGGGGAGGAAAGGGTAGGTGAAAAACGGTTCTTGAACAACACGCTATATCTCGATAAATTTAGGTTGTCTCGAACTATTGGTTTGTACCTTGTGTGCGTAGAGTGGTCGTCATCACGCTCGAAAATCGTTTAGTCTTGGGGAGTGCAGCAGATGGAAAGAACAGCTTACAGATCCAAGTTCTTTGTTTTTAGAAAAAGCGATTTTGGCCCGCGCACAGATTTCGTAAGATGGCTTGCCTTGAAGCCCAGCGTTTGAAGTGCGCTCTAGCCGCAACTTCCCTCCTCTTGCGCAGAACTACGGCCTGCTGCAGGCGTGTCAACACCGATCGGTACAAGTTTACTTCCACCTGTTGGAGTACAACGCCGACGATGGGGGGGGATGGGATGGGCACAGGGTGAGTCAAAAAGCTGCCTCGAGACTATGAACGCCTTTTGAGTGCTTTGGTAGGCATAGAGATACACAGAAGAAGAGAGGCCGCCCAGCCGATAGGCGCGTACAGGCGTGGGGGCGGGGGCGCACGGGGGGTACGGAATCGAGGATCGCTTCTTTGGTACGCAATTCTGATGCCTTCGTCTATTCCGGTTGGATTTCATTCGACCTTCGATCCCGCGTGTCTTTACTCGCACGGTTATTCGCATTTACTCGCATCTTGCGGGGGCCTACAGGCTATCTCACTGGGCAGCGTTCCCACGATGTTTGGGGAATATTTCGGTCAAGGTTCCAACGGGGAACATGCTCACGGTAACACCACCACCCCTGTAGCAGCTCTCCAAAACATTGTGAACGTGACGCCGTTGTGTAGCGTTTTCCTACCGTGAGGTAGCGGCAGAAGAAGAACCGCTGTATAAGCGTCGTGGGAGTAACCCCCCACAGAAGCTGTTGAGGCAAGGCGACCCATACTTGAAACTTCTACAAAGCCTAAACGTGCTCGTAGTATTCGATCGCCCTGGGCTACAATATGCAACGGGGCCGGGCAGAGCAGGAGCAGCACTCGAAAAAGTAGTTTAGGTTCTGTCCCTACCTTTCCACGCATGAGTTCGACGGCTTGTCTTGACATCTCCTGCCGAACCATAGCATCCGTGACATACAGGCCCAGCTCTCCCCTGGCCACCGCCCTCTTGACAACCCTTTCCCTCGCTTCTTGCTGCCGACGAAGCCCCCGCCTCGCCAACTCCCTACGTTCCGTTCGTTGTTTTTTTAGTAGAAGCATAGGTTATGCACGGAGACATGTGGTGTTCGTGTTACTGTGCATTTTGCACGTCTGTTTCTGGTCGAACGGAGACATTTATCAAGTCACCCGGGCGACCAACAAGAAAATCGCGTCCACTCTCGCATGTGGGGTGGCAACGCAAAAAATCGAAAGTTCTTTAACCTTGTCTAGATGCGCTGTTGGAACAATGTGCTTACCCGAACATCTTCGGAAAACACCCGTTCTGCAAAATACGGTTCACGTATCTTGGGAAGATATCAACCTGACCAACTCTTATAGAGTTATTGCTTTAGAGGGAAGGGCACGATATAGCCCTCGCGGTACCGTATGTGTCTGTTTCAAACGATCTGCTTCACAGAAGAGTAGTTTGTTTCAAAAGAATAGCAAGGCCGCCCAATCACGCCCACGACGACGATGGCGGAAGTATTGAGTACTACAGTATGTAGTACTGCGAACTTGGGTGGGTCTAGCTTCTGAGATGTATCCTCTAAACAAAAAAACACATTCCCTAAAGATGCGACGTGTGCAAACCGTTTGGCCTTTTTGGGGTCTCCTGGCGTTCGCGTGACTCCCACCTGGAACTAGACGGGCCAATTGTTTGGTCCTTCAGCTCACGGAACACATTTCTCGTGAGATCGAAGAGCTAGTGTTGATTGACACCAGCGGCGAGCATCAACGCGAACACCGGTTCGTTGTGCATGGGTGCGAGAGCAAGCGCAACGACGGAATGGCCATGCAGCAGCAGAAGCAAGCATGAACGAACCTTGATACATTTTTCAAGTTTGAAGGGGTGTGTCGTGTGAGGTGCGGGGGGGAGAAGGACAAAGGGCTCGGCAAGCGCTGGCGAAAGGTAGAGGAATGTAGACAAAGCCATCAAATGCGCATTATTCTACGCAAAGAATCTCCCGCTTTCATCGACAACTCCACGCTTTGAGATGCTCATCCCAATCCGCACGTTTCCTCCCATCCCACATGCATTCAAATCGTTTGCTGCGGGATAGCAAAAAGCAGAGAAAGCTCATTAACTTGCACAACCAGCGGCCCAAAACCCTAACCGTCTACGTAGCCGTTCCGACACGTAGACTTTAATCTGAATCACCCTTCTAGAGAGCAAGTCCTGAGGCGACACTGTTGTATTCGTGTACCTGACGGCGTTTCACTCTCTCCTCAAACATTTTGAGCTGGGAGTTGCGCTGCTCGTTGGTTCCGATGACCGTCGACCACATTCGGAACATTTTCGATACCAACCACAGATGACGCCGTTTGCGCAGCTGGCAGGGAGCAAGCGACATGAGGTGACGGATGTACCGGGGAGGAGTGGGTAGGAGAGGGGGCGGGACGTACGATGTGGGCGAGGCCGGGTACACGGAAGTCTGTTAAAACATTTGTGAGTGTCTGTGCGCTTAGTTCTTTCAACAGCGTCGACCGCGCTAACCCGCTCACCAATGAGTATACACCAGACATAGCCAGGCAAAAGAACGCACTTTATTGTGGAATTGTGAACATCAACAGCGACGACTGACCATCTGGAGTCAGCGGTTGAAAATCACGATTTCCCCGAAGGGCCAGACACCGAAAGAAGGGGCTAGCCCCGGAAGCAAAAACAATGCACTCTACAAACCCTGAACTTTGTCGGGCTACAGACACGCCACCAATCTCCATCCAAGATCCTGGGCATGCTTGTGAGAGCATGTTTGAAATTTAGGAAGTTATTGTCAAACGGATTCGTCACCAAGTACAGCAACATGGCTTCGATTGACGATGCACTGATGTACCCCCCCCCCCGTTCAATGGTCTAACGACTACGGCATGCACGACTATGAGTACACCCCCCGTTCCGTTTCCTTCCTTTCCGTGTGAAAAAAGTGATGTGCTGTTGCTCACCCTGTCCAGACCAGCCTCGATCTTCTTCTGTCGAAAGACTTCATGACGCATGCATTGAAGCACGCGCAAGCTGTTGTTGGTCCGCCAAGCCCTGAGAGCTTCCTTGCCTCGGAGATAGCGGCACCTCTGCAGAAACATGCGGATGACGCTGCAGCACGACACGATAGGGGGGATTGGACGAGAAAGGGCTTGGACCACACGGAACCGATGCATATCAAAGAGGGAGCCTGGGAGCAGTAAGGAGAGCTTCAGGCAAGAGGGCTTCGACAGACCGGTACATTTATGTAGCTTCTGCCTTGGAAGGCGCTCGACGTGATGCTCCTTGCATTGCAGATCGACGCATGGTATGCACGCAATATGGGAGAAGCCTCATGCCGTCACCATTTGAAGGTGCTCTGTACGCGTCGTCCACGTCGATGGAGCGCTCGTGCTAGCTCCACAAAAAGCACCTGGGATAGCAGTAAGCCTTGCCATTGTCGCAGTATTGTTGAAATACAATGGCTATGGAAAATGAAGAATACTGAAGAGAGTATTTTATTGGCCCACCCCCAAGCCGTTCGAACACCTGCTGATGGTCGTTATCGCGCGGACCCGGTGCTCCAGTATCTGCGCCGCGCCACTGAACACGTCCTCGAGCTTTTCGATACCGCCGGCCACGACCTCAAAGCGTTCGGCGATCTCCTTCTCTACTTTTTCGCAGTGAAGGGCATCTGCGTCCATCTTTAGCCCGCTGTTCCTCCGTGGCTTGTCTCCTTCCTTTATTGCTTTTACAATGTCCGGGGGCACCATTATCCCCCGACCTTGTCCGGGGGAGACGTGCGGATCATTGTTGTGTTGATAATGCGCGTTCAGCTTTCCCCTTCCTAGTGGAGCTGCTGAAGTGTGGGTCTTACTATTGTGGTCGATGCTGCTACCAGCCGTCCTCGGTGTCGGGTACGCTCCGGCCCTTTTTTCGAGATCTCCCTCAGAGATGTCGTTTTTTCTCCCGCTGCGACCACCATGGCCTCCGAAGGCCGCCGCGGATGGAGCCTGCGACGATGCACGAGAAGACCCACGGGAGTTTCTCGGAGAGAAACGGGGATCTGCCGTAGATGCGCTTGAACCAGGAGGCTGCGGACTGCTACAGCGGTTGTCTTTGTTGCAGGATGACTCGACTGACGGCGAGAACGATGAAGCTGTTGCTTCCTCCAGGAGTTTCTTCCCGTCAGGACGTTCCCTCAACAGCTGCGCCTCGACTTGCTGCAGCCTCCTCGCTAGAGCGTTGCATTTGTCGGTGAGAAAAATGACGCGATCGTTCGTCTCAAGGTTGCTGTCGCTGTTGTTGGCTCCGTCGTTACCGTTAAAGCCCCACGCTGTCACCCCATCCCCGCGTGTAGGGCTCCGGCTGCTGGTCTGCGGTGAAATGAAAACCGCGCGTGGAAGTGGATGGGGTATATTTCCAGCTGCCAACCTTCCGGCGCGGCCGCGTTCCGATCCTATCCCCAAATTGTCAGTAAAATAGTCGGTATTAATGACCTTATGCAGTCTGCGAGTTTGGACTGTACAGCGTAGTCCATCTACAGCAGTACGATGATATCGAACGCTTCACCAACTAACATCAAGGGCTAGGAGTTTCTCAACCAAACGACTTTTTTGAAAGCGTTGTGTTCATCATTCGCTTTGTTTTACTGGCGAACGGTGTGTTCAAATATTTGCAAATCAATGGCATGGTATACCCACGAGACTTGGTGGAGGCACAAGTTGCACACACACCAGGCGCAGAGCAGAAAAGTTTGATTCCCATATTGTCAAGTTACCATCGAGCGCCTCACCGTCGGGCGCAGACTCTCGAAGCCATAGTCCGCCGGTCTGAACGCAGACTGTGCCGTCGACGGCGGCGACACGCCGGTCAGAGGTCGTAAATGCTGTTGGAATAGGCCAAAGCCCTCGCCGCCTGTGCTCCCACGATGGGCTGCCCGCCCAGGAGTCGCCCGTCTCAGGCCTTTGCCCCGCCGGTGCCTCCCCACTCTGCTCGAAATTTCTCTGGTGTACGCCTCTGAAGGGAGGTGGGACAGGAAGCTCGCCGGGGAGGATGGGGATGCCAGCATACCACGCTGAGGGCCGGGTTCACCGCCGGCTGACGTGTAGCGCTCATACCTGCTGTTGGCGAACTGCAGCTCTGCCGAGGCGGTCATTTTCCTCGCAAGGATTACTTCCTCGAGGCTCCTTTCCGCAGGGAGATGAGCAGCAATCCTATGCGAAGCAGGTCTCATTGTCGGGCCCATGCTTCACACTCGTGTAACCTGTTCATGTGAGAGAGGGATTCACGAGGCCGTCTCTGGTGTGGAGAGAAGGCATCTCTGTGCGAACAAAGTACTCCAACCCCATTGGGCACTCTCTAACTATCCATCCGCCTTCTTCCACGTCCTGACTTTCCAGTATCGTTCGTGCGGTTTCACGGGACTGTCATGTTTTTTTTTTGTTGCCTTGCCCGACGTGCCGACGGAGATCGCTGTTTGCAAGACTTGAAAAACGGACAGCGGCCAAATCTGAGATGAGCTGGTCGGAGGGAGTATCTCGTGGGTGTATTCCTGTTCTTATACATAGCCAAGGCCAAGGCCTTAGAACGCACAGAAAAATACTCCTGTAGACTGTAGACTCCCTGTATGTACACACGCCGCTTTGATTGGATAAAGCGGACAGTTCCAGATTGGGTTCAGGGATTTCAGATTCTATGTACAAGGACACAAGGACACAGACAGGCACAGAGCGCGTCGCAATCGGGTCAAAAATGAGGTTATCGAGATATATTTCTCTACATCAGACACTGTAGAGAGAATGTCCTCGACGTCCAGGCTCTAGGTTGCCCGGTGACATTCGTCGGTGGACGAGGCGCTTTTCCGCGCGTGCTCCTGATACAGCACAGTAGCGCCACACTCAAGGACAGAGATCGACGCGGCGCAACTTCGGTATTGTAACCTCCTGCGATATCGCCCGCCATATTACCCTTCTACTCCTGTCCAGCACCCACACTACACTACGGTGCGCCCCGCGTACCTCGGCACCCCCGTTGCCGAGGAGTTAGAGGAAAATACAGCGATCGATGCTTTATTCTTTGCCAGCAAAAACGAGCGAAGAAGAGTCGGCGGACAAAAGGTGCTCCCAAAGTCAGTCGCTCCAAAGTAGACTATGTAGTGTACTGTAGTACAGTAGTCCAATTTACGTGGTGGAACAGAACGTTTTTATTCACCACTCACTGCCGTAAAGACTTCAACACGTCCCTTCGATTGGAGGAGTACCTCGAACGCATCATGTTACATATACAAGGGCTCCGGACTTCGGGCGCAGAGGTGCCCTCGTCCTCAGTAGGCTTAAAGGGAAGGTGTGAAGGCTGTGCACAGCATACCAAGGGCATGAAGCCGCAGGGTGATCGAATGAACGGTGTGAAGATGTTCGCGTTGTATTTGAGAAAAAAATGTGCCGTTCCCGGTGTAACATGAAGCCAAAAGAGTCGCGTGTACGTGAACTGTTGTCTAGCTTCGCCCGGTGCGGACGAAAAAGAGATGTAAGCTACGGTCGCCTCTCTATTCTTGCGCCGGTAAGAACGTAGCCGTGAAGCATTAGCATCGGAAACTGAAGAGTTTCGCACGCTGCACTCCACAGGGGCAAGAACCTAGGCTTGTCGTCCGGACTGTCACGTGGATAAGTTACTACAGCACGTGATCCGCTGTTTTCCTGACCTGATGTGAAGACTAAAGCTGCAATTTCCGGTGCTGAACTTTTTCACCTACATACAACGGGTCCGTCCGTCGTTTGTTCGGCTTACTTCAGCGAACTCAATGTACGCAGGGTCCTCGGATTCAGCGTGGTGGGCGTTAGGTTGCTTAATAATGCTATCTACATACAGCAGATCGGTATTGTTGTGCCCATGGAATGTTATTGTGCACATGCGTTCGTAAACTTGTCGCGATGTTTGCGTCTAATTTAAGGGATGAAGTGTTCTGTGTGAATTCAGAATCAATCGTATATGTAAAACCTCGAGTTGTTGGACACGGAGTACTAGTTCTCATAATGTTGGTGGAGGTCGAATATATATGCGATGGTAAACACGTCCATGCAAGGTGAGCACATTAAAGGGGCTGGCGGTTCAGTCCATGTCTTTTTTTGAATACCACCTGCGCCTAATGCGGTAAATCCGAAAAGAAGCCCGTTGTACCTTCTTTGAGCAGAAATGAATTTAGTAGTTTCAAACAGCGCCATAAGATGGTGGGGGATAGATTTGAGAGGATGGATACACGACTTGCCATTGATACAACAATTTAATCTTTTATCTTCTTTCCAAAGTTGAGCATTGCAGTGAGAACATGTGATATTTTGTGGATCATCCAAATCATCCGTGTGTTTTAGCTCGAAAGGTGCCGAGGGGAAGTCGAATGATTGCGAGTCAACGCCTTGCACTCCAACCCTAATTCTAACTTCTGACTAACTTCCGGCAACATTCCATGTAGAAATGGTTTACACAACCCAGAACGTTCACTCTGCACAGACTCACTTCTGACTAAACTTCCAACAATTATTATAACTTCTGACTAACTTCCAGCAATTATTCCACACAACCCAGAACGTGCACTGTGCATAGACTTACTTCTGACTAACTTCCAGCAATTATTCCATGAAACGGCGTGGTATGACGAAAAGTTACCTCTCTTGTTTAACTGTATATAATATATATATACGATATAATAGCGCAGTCTACAGCAGCAGCACCTTCAATACAACAACAGCAGTGTTCACAGCATTACAGAAGACATATGCCTACAACTTTGCAGCACTTGCAGCAATCGATGATGCCGTGAGATTTGCGTGCATGTTCAAGCTCAAAACAAAGCAAGTTACCACAACAACAATCAATCTACATTTATTTGTCCAATCTTCCTTGCTACAGCTAGCTGTAGACTTTGTGCAACTTGGGGTGTGTGTGTGTGGCATATATGTAGTACGTAACCATCCGTCCGTGCGGTGACAATACACGATGCACATACTCCAGTTTGCGTTGCTTACGTTAGAGAAGGCGACAGGATGCATGCATGCACTACTGTACCTACAACGCATACCACATAATACGGACAGTCTGTCGGTATCTATCTACAGATGAGACCATGCGGCAAAAAAAAGTCTGTGCTAGGTACTACATTTATGCTTGTACTTCAAGTATGTGTCATGATTAATGAGTTGACGTCCTCCAAAATCTCGTCCAATGAGCTGCACGATTCTTTAGATATCACAGTCCCTTGAAGTCCCTTACGTAGACGCGCCCGGATGCAGGAGATTTAACCGTACTTCACGGTGCTGTAACTCGGCTCGCCCTTGGAGTCTAGAGCTCGCGACAGGGGCCCTGTGATCGTGAGAGTGGCACGCCCACGTCGGCGAAGACGGCCGAAACCCCATTTAAAAACAATTAAAACCTTACCGCACCGCAACGTCTAGCTCAATGACTGAAATAGTGGTTGCGTGCATTCACCGTGCTGTAACTCTACTCGCCTTTGGAGTTTCGAGCTTGCGACAGGGGCGCTGTGATCCAGAGACTGGCCCGCTGCAGCGGGCAACAGCCGGCGAAAAGAAGTCTCAAGGCGACCGCGAACTGATGCACCGAAGAAAACGTCTTGATTTTAGAGTGCAACAATGGTTGAACTTTTGCGTCTCAGGCCTCCTACATAATTGTAGTTAAGCCTATCTAAACTCACAGGATTGCGGTCGTGTCGTCATACATTTCGAACTACTAGTATGGGAAAATATATATATATATATATAATACAAGGTCCCCCTTCGGGACGTTGGTGTCAGGCCCCCTGGGGGTGACGCAAGTTGGAAAGGAAATAGTGAAGTCATGGATTAAATTTCAATGTTCGGTAGTGCTCGCCCCCGTACAAAACATCGCATGTGTCATGGGACGGAGGAGGTGGAAGGGGTTGGCCGACGTGGAAGGGCTGGGTGGACTTGGCGATTAACTGTAGAGCTGTATGTACTCGAGTAGTAGGCCTTCTTAAAGTTTTGGTAGTGATTTTTATCAAAAAGGCAAATTTTGTTTTGCGAAGCTGCACCGCTGGGGAGCTCTGAAATAGCCTGCGACTGGGTCATTCTCGGAATGTTTCGGGCCGGAAAAATAGTAGTCTATTCGGGTTCAAAATGTTCTCTTCTCATCTGCCATAATCAATCACTGTTCTACAGCTGTAGACTACCTCGTCCGATGCTGTTGAAGATTGCTGCTGCTGTAGCGTGCAGTGATGTTCTCCAACAGGACGTTCTCCGCGCTCAACAATAAGCACGCGACCTTGCGTCAACCTGTAGCAGCAAAGTCTTCGTGCAAGCAAGGTGGTAGCCGACAGTTTGTGGAGGTAGCAAACCTCAGTAGGTGGTGTTGTCTACGAGCCTCCATATACTCGCTAGAGAGATTACGCATCCTGAGCCAAGTCCATAGTCTATTGTTCGTTTTGGGCAGAGTGCTCAGCACTCCGCACGGACGGGAAGGGGCAATCGCATCCATGCGGGGGCTCTCGCTCGCTCGCTACCAACTTTATCGACGTTAGACTTCTCGTAGCATCAATCAGTGTCGTCATACGGAGCTGTAACTTGGATATTCGCCGAGGTATTTGCATGAATTTTAAAGGAGGCAAGACAAGAAAAAGGTCTGTTCTGTTATTTTTTTGTCGAACCTGCTGTGTCCGCGCAAGGAAATAGGTCCACGGGCGGACCACGAGGTGCAAGAATACTACACATAGCTCCTTCGCGTTAGTTATTGATGTGCGAGCCGTCGTTCTTGTCTGTCTGTGGTCCGAGTGGGACGGACTGGGTTTGTTTCCTTTCCACCAACAGGCGTTTACCTCGGGTGTCTTTCACGTCTTTCGACGATTTGCTGTTCATTAAAAAATAAACAATTCCGCATGCTAGTACGATTAAGCGAAGATTACGCCATCCTCGGGAATCTGTCATCCCTCGAGGAAGAGACTGGGACGAGGACGAGGGCAACAGCACCGTTGGAACTATTACTGAGGGCGGTTGGGGTACGTCGTTCGCCGACCATTGGCTTCTCGGCCGAAGGACCGGCAACGATGATGACCGTTGTTGTGGAATTGGAGAATTTGGGCTGACAGTACGCCGGAGAAGAAGCCGCAGAAGGTGCCACCTCCACAACTTC